CGGGGAGATCCTGCGCCCCCCCGGCCGCCCCGCCCCCCGCCGAGGCGCAGCTCCCGCCGGGGCACCGGCTGCGCGCTATTTTCAAACCGTCTTCCCCCCACCTCCCCGCCCTCCCCCGCCTCTTGTTTTCCTTTTGCCACTTTCTGTTACTTTACCTTCTAGAGAGACATCTGCGGTTCGTGATAAACCAACCCCAGGAGCAACACCTTTTTTTTTTTCTTTTCTTTTTAATTTAAAAAGTTGATTTTTAGCAAGGTGGGAAGCTCGTAGACAAGGGGGTTTAGTGCTGGAGGAAAAGGAGGGAGGGGGTGTTTTTGCAGGATGAAAGAGGGAGAAACGACTGCAAATGCCCTTTTTAAATTTTTTTTTGGGGGGAGTGGTGAGAAGAGAGGGGTTTAGTGCAAAGGCTCTGGAAAAACGGTTGCCGTTTGTGGTTAGGGCGCGGATGCCTCTTGCTGGAACGCAGCGCGGGGGGCTGGGGCAGTGGGGAGCCGGCTCTCTGCTGAGTAGCTCTGCTCTGGCCGGCTGAGGTCTTCTGCTCTCAGATGAGGGCTAGGAGTGTCATTAGCTGTGAGAAAAAAAACCAAAAAAACCACCCAAGAAACCAAGCACCCAAGGAAAAAAAACACTTCAAACATCTCAAAGTAGCTGGGAGGCATGCCCGCATCCCCCCCTGTTCCCTCATCTGAGCTGGGAGCTGCTGGGCTGTGGGAGATTCCCCCCCAGTAGCTGGGGAGAGGATAGAGCGCTGCCAAAAATGAGAAGAAGAAGGAGGGAAAGACCTTCATCAGGGCTCAGGCAGGCTCGGGGCTGTTTGGGATCCCAGATATCAGGGATGTACTGTCAGGCTGCAGATGCGGTGGGGAAGCCGGAGGGGTTTTCGCAAATTGGGTGGTGGAAGCTTCATTGCAAATTAATCGATAGCAGATATTGGTGGAGTGGTTGTGTGTCGGCTGGGGTTGGAGAGGTGTTTTGGTTGCTTATTTGTGATTATTTTGGGAGTCCTTGCTGTGATTTGACCTGAGGCCAAAGGAAGAGCCCCCCCCCCCCAGGCTCATCAACGACCCCCCCCCAGGCTCATGCAACCCGCTTGCAGCTGGGAGTGACCCCAGGGCCACATCAGACAGGGAGGTATGGACATAGATTTGGTATCCGTCCTTCTCGGGGGACTGGGAGGCTTCTGCAAAGCCTGCCGAGGTTTGCCTGGTCTGTATGGCAACATGGGGTCTGGAAGGCTGCAGGAGCCCACAGTCCAGAGATGAGGGGTAATTGTCAGGCACCCCCCCGCAAAGGAAGGACCAGCGAGAGGAATGAGATCCTCTCTGGGAAGCCCCTCGGGCCACCATGGGGTTGTCGTTGTCACCATCCATCTTCCCTCCTGCTGGGACACAGGCCTGATGCTGCCTGCGGGGTGGTGCTGGGGAAGGGACAGGATTAGACCCCCACTAGACTCTCCCCAGCCTGTGCTGGGGCTGTCACTCCCCCATGGCCTTGGACCCTTCCCTGGACACCCTGAGCTTGGAGAAGACAGGCAGGGTCTGACGTGGCTGGGTCTCTCGGGGGGGTTGGTTTTGTTTTTGGGGGGGCTTACCCCAGCCCCTTTCCCACCACTTTCCCTAAGTGAACTATGTGCTCTCTTGTTTCCAGAAGGCAGGGAGTGTGTAAATTGTGGGGCTACCTCAACCCCTCTGTGGAGAAGAGACGGCACCGGGCACTATTTGTGTAACGCCTGCGGACTGTATCACAAAATGAATGGGCAGAACCGGCCCCTGATCAAACCCAAGAGAAGGCTGGTGAGTCTCCTTCGTTTTTATTCTTTCTTTTCCTTCCTCTGTAAGTTTTGCTTCTTGTCCGCAGCCTGGGATGGAGAGGGGAAGCTCAGCCAGCTCTGAAATCTGGTCCCACTGCGTCAGAGGGCTGGGAGGAGGGGACGCTCGGAGAGATGCTCGTAGCTGCTGTGGGCCTCAGTTGTCTGGTCCTCTTGCAAACTGCAGAACAGGTTGAAAAAATCAAGATCTAGGGCATCTTGCAAAGCAGAACTGAGTTTCCTCCCAGGTTGCAATGGAGCAGATGCCTCTGCACAGCGCTCCTGGATAGTGACCCAAGGACAGTGGCTCTTTCCAGGGGCTAAGGGCAGAGTGATCATTTCCTAGTGACCAAAGAGATTCTCAGGAGAACAGGATTTCTCCTGGGCTCTGCATGCTGTGGTCCTCCCCTTCCCAAGCGTGTCTCCATCCCCCTTTGGCTGGAGGTGTTGTGGAGGGGGGACCCGAGCTGGGTACTGGTCACTGTAGCTGGTGACACTGGGCCACCGGTTGGACCTTGGTTCTGCAAAGCTCTTGGCTGATGGTCCTGGTGCGACTTGAACCTGGTGTGATCATTTTTACCTGAGCCGTCTGTGTCTCAGATTGTGTCATTTCCCTCTGAGTGGATGTGAGCGAGGACACAAGGTAGAGGATGGCAAAGCCCAGTGAGTGTGCAAAGCCGAGCGTGTGCCCGGGGCCACAGAAGTTGGAAGGAGAAGAAATGTGCGGGTAAATATTTGATATGTTACAAGCCTCATGACTGTACTATGTACAGGCAAAATGTTACAGCTTCCCCAGCGATCTGTTCTTGAGTTTCCCTGGAAGCCACAAAAAGGTCTGGAAGCTGTGGGCATGGCTAATAAATGTGTTGAAGCATATTTGGCAAATAATCAGGCAAACCACAAGGGGAAAAAATATATCAAGCAGGGGAAAAAAATATGTTCCCTGCTTGGGAAGTTATTGAACGTTTCGGATCGAGGCATGTTTGGTTTCGTTGAGATTAAAGAAGTGGACGGGCTCCTGGGGGCTGCTCAAAATGTGGAGGGAAAGCGGCTCTCGCCTCTCCACGGAGTTTCTGAGCTGACGGATGGATCTGGCCGGTTGCGTGGGGCTTGTGGCTGGCGTGGCCGGATCCTGCAGGCATGTTCCCATTCCTCGGTCCGGCAACTCTCAGGCATGGATTTGGCTTCCTGACCTGATAGATGCCCACAAAATCGCACCGGTGTTATTCCCACCGGCGCTCGGATTTTGGAGGAGACGGCCCGAGGAGGGGTTACGCTGTGAGGGGCAGCCGCGTCGGCTCCATCTGGCCCTGTGGGTTTTGGGGAAGATGCGGGTTTGCTTCTCTAACCCCAAACTTCCCGCGAGCAAAACCTCTCTGTACCTTCCTATGTGGGCTTTTTCTTTTTCTGTGTAGGAAAATTTTGGTCTCCCTCATCTTTCATAGCCTTGTTAGAAAAAAGGAAAAGCTTTCTAGGGAGGGAAGTGCGGGCTGGGATTTTTAATTTTTTTGAGCAGCTTTCTTGTTCTCTTCTCCTCCCCCCCCCCGCCCCTTCTCTCTTAAACCTTAAAACACCTCCCGCCTTTCTTTTTTTTTTTTTTTTTTTTTTTTTTCCCCCCCTCATTCTGTCTTTATGTGTAAAGCTAACTTCCTAGGAAAAAGCTGCCGGATATCTGAGCCCTGGAGATAACTCCTGAACAACAGCTCTGTTTCCCCAGCCCAAACACACAGGAGCTTGAGTGTATCCAAACAAGCAGAGGGGGAGGCAGAATAGGAAAGCGGCTGCAAAAGGGGGGAGAGCTTTCAAAAAGTGTCTGATGGAACCACGAAAGAATGTCCCGAGTCACCCTTGGCCCGGCACATGTAAAATGCACTATATAAATAAATACATAGTAAAGAGTCATTCTTGGGGAAAAAAAAAAAGAAGAGAAAGAAAGAAAAGAAGAGAGAACTTGTCTTGCATAATCACTCCAATCTTGGGCGTTTTAGTTATAGTTTAAGTTACAAAATGCTCCTGTTCTTTGAAGACGGCCTTTGCTAAATGGGAAATTTTGGGTTTTTTTCTATATTTTTTTCCCTACCACTGCCTGGGGAAAAAAAAAATAGAGAAACTTTTCTAATGCTGTTTACATTTGTATTTATTTCCCTTGCTAACCTCCTCCGAAAAATAAATCAGAAGCCACCAAAGCTGGGCCCACGTTTGCATTTTGTGTGCATGGATGTAGACACGTGCGTGTCTGTGGCTTGACTTGGTCTTCTCTGGCTCATGAAGGCGAGCAGGCTGGGGAAGACAATGTGCATATGGAAGCTCAGGGTGGGGATCCAGCGCGTGCTCCTCTCCCTCTGCCACAGGTTTCCTGTGTGACCCTGGGCTGGTTTTGTAGGCTCTGATCTCAGGCATGCTGAAACTAATGAAAGGACTCTGATGGGTTGGAGAGAGAAGGCAAATAAATCCTTAGATGCTGAGAACCCAGCCCAAGCCTTATTAAGTTAAATGGGCGTCTTTGTAAAGGCTTCATTTAGGGGAGACGGACGGAGCCTTGCTGCTCGAGGGGGCTCAGATAGGTCTATTTTGGAAGATCTGGAGATGTTGGCAGGAGGATCTGGAACAGGCAGATGGTACCATGCCTCCACTCTGCTTAAAAGGTCTACAGCCCTCTTGGAGACCATTCCCGTCCCTGTCGAAGCCAGTGGCAGCCCCGTCACTGCAGTTGCTGAGATAAAGCCTTTTTTTTGCTTGCTTTCCTTTTCTTCCTTTCCCATGCCCACGTGGATGGAGAGCTCTCCGTTTCCTTGTCCAGCAGTGCTGGTTTTGAAAGGATTACAGCCACTTTCTTAGAAGGCACGTGCAGTCTTATTTTAGGAAGCTGATGTTTGCAGCTTTCTGGATACCCCATGTAAAAAGTGCCCCTTAGTTAAGCATCTTTGTCGGTGCTTGGTTCCTCCTGCACCATCCTCAGTTCCACCTTCTCATCACTGCCAGAGCTTCTGAAGTTGTGCCCTCGCTCAAGCGCAACTGGGCCATAGGGTCTGGTCCTACTGATGATATGGGGCACCCTATTAGTCATCCCGTTACTTACATGGCTGGGCTTGGGTTGGTGATTAGCGTCAGTGGATGCCATTGCTGGGAGCTTTTACAATAGTGATATTATTCATTGTTTCCTGCCCACTGCCGGTGTCTCCGGTGTAAGTTGGTACAGCGTAAAATGCATAGTCTGGGACCGAAAGAGCACAGAGTTTAAAATATTCAGCTAACGACGCTGAATTTTTGTAGGGGGAGCACAGCAGATGGAAAAGGTTTCAGAGAAGATGGTGAATGTTGTGATTTATTCGTTTATTTAATGTCAGAGTTTGTTTGGAGGTAACAAGGTGGTGACCAGGCGTGTCTTTGAAACGCATTTGCCATAAGAGAAATTACCGCGAGCGCCATGTAGAAACCCCAAATATCTTCAAAGGGGATGTTTCCCCTGTGTGGGCTGAGTCAAATATCACTGGTTTTTAGAAATTTCCTTAGGCTTGATTTTTGGGTCTGATAAGGGCAAAGCTGCCACCGAGAGACTCCAACCAGCCTCTGAGCCACCCGTGCCAGCCGGTGGGAGCCCGGGGGGGCAAAGACCTGTAGGCTCACCCCCCTCGTCTCGATGAGAGCCTGGCTCTGCAAGCTGTTGTGTCTGTGCTGTCTTTGAAGAACGTGCATTAATCTGGCGATTTTGATAGGAAATAAATGTGGGGCCGTGGCATGGTTCGGAGGAGGACAGGACAAAGGTTTGTGCGCGCACATGTGTTTGTGGCTCTGTTGCTTGGGGTGGGATGTTTCGGATTCTCCTGCCAGTGTTGGGTTTTTTGCAACCAAAGACCTGTGTGCCGTTCCCAGCTCCTGTTTGTCATAAGGGTGGAGAAGTCAGTGAGAGGCCTCCTCGGGCTTGAGATTGGCTTGTTTCCGCGTGGTTTACGGTCAGGCAAAACGGAACTGTCCCCATGGGCAGCTGGTGAGAGCCCCTTGCTGTCAGATCAGGTGCTCTGTGATGCTTCCTAATGCTCATGGGCATCATATTATTTATATTTTAGACAGTCCTTTTTGTCTAATTAAAAAAAAAATCCTACTCTATCTAAAACAAAACCAACCCGTCCTCTCTCCTCCTACGCCGCATTCAATTATGATTAAAATTGCAACATGACCTAACAAGAGTTGGTATTAACGCTAGCGCTGTGCCAGTGTCCATGTTTGCATTTTGGGTTTGTTGTAAGGCATCCAAAGATGCGGTATTTTTTTTTTTTCAAATGTTGGATGTGCCACAGTGTGTGGCTGTGTGGGGTGAGGGGTAAATTTGAAACAGTAAGAGCACAAAAGAGAGCATTAAAGGCTCAGTTCTGCAAGGTGCCAAGCATTGCTATGATCTGGCAAATCGCTTAAGCACATGTTTTAACTTTAAGCACATGAGCAGTCCCATTGAAAGCAACGCATCGGGATGAAATCAGAGCTCTGGGACTGTGTCATATTGATGAAGAGGAGATAGGAACGGGATCTAAAGGTCTTTTTTTAGGAACTGTAGGCACTTGCACACACGCAAACATGCGTATGTGTTCACATAGAAGTCTGTAAACTCCTTCTCCTGCTTCAGTGGCAGAAGGACAATTTGTTTGCAAAAGTCACAGTTTTTAAATGATGAGCGTGAATTCATTCATGTGAAAGAGGAGTGACTTTGCTAAACCTGGCTTTGTTAAATCATTATCACAGCCAACAAAAAAGTTTCTTTATATACCTTGACATGTAGACCTTTTTTCTTGTGCCTTCCCCTTTATGAAATGGTAAATTCTTCTTTCAGGCTCATTACCAATCCTTAAATAAACATGAAGGTTTAGGCTGCAAAAGGGTGTAATTAAAAAGTTGGGATTCTTGCTCTTTGCCACGGTGTTATTTCCGATCTGGTGCCCGTACCCTTTGAAGCTGAGCTGAATTTACGGGACTGGGCTGTGCTTGCGGTCGGACCCAGAGAGCAGCTGCCCACCAAGCCCAGCGCGGGTCTCACCTGGCGCTCGCTGGAGCCGGCGTGACTCATGCCGTTGACTCCGGCAATTGTTGGTTCAGGCCCTGACTGCAGAATTAGACCCCTGGGGGGTCTGAGAGAATTAAGATGGAAAGACATGTCGGCATTTAAATAATATTTTCCCCTCTGGAATGGGCTGTGCCAGCGCTGCTAATTTTGATGAGTTCTATCAGAGGTTTAGCACTCACTTTTAGGATGCCCTTTGGCACCTGATTCAGTTCATATATAATTTGGGATTAAAGTACCTCGGGGAATTTTTTCAGAATTATTATTTGTTCTCACAAGCCAGTTTCTGGAGGCCTCTGCCGATGTGCATCAGTCTTGCAGGGCTGATGTGTTCTTTCTCAGCAATTTTGCTGATAGGATCTTTTTTTTTTTTTTTTTGTTTTAAACTGGGTGCTTTTTTTTCCCTCTTCTCTTCTTCTTTTTTTTATGTTTTCTTTTTCAGCAATTTTGCTGATAGGATTTTTTTTTTTTTTTTTTTTGTTTTAACATGGGTGCTTTTCTTTCCCTCTCCTTCTCTTCCCCTGTCTCTCCCCCTCCTTCCCGCAGTCCGCAGCCAGGAGAGCGGGCACGTCCTGCGCGAACTGTCAGACCACCACTACCACCCTGTGGAGGAGAAATGCCAACGGCGATCCCGTGTGTAACGCCTGCGGGCTCTACTACAAGCTGCACAATGTAAGTGTGACTGTAACTCTCAACAGCGGGGCCTCGGTTTCCGTGCTCGATGATCCAAACTCTGCTTTGACTTAAGGATTCCCAGTCTTGGGTGGTGCGGAGACCTTCTTTATCGCTTTGGGGACATTGGGGTTTGAAACGATGAGTCAGCATCCTCTTAAACGTAGCCAAACTGACTTGGGGAGGTAAAAGACAGGGCTGTCCATGGGTAATGTTAGAGCTTTCTCATGCCTGAGCCAAGAAAGGAGGAGTGGATCAACACAGAGAGACATTATCCGCTGCTGATTGGGCTCAGTGCGTTGGAAAAGACAACACGCCGTCCTGCAAGCCGATACCCCTTCTACGCATAGCTTGGTTGCTCCAGCAAATACAAACCCTGGAAAAAAAAACAAAATGTGCCAGCAACTGTTTAGATCTTTCATGGGTTTGTGGCTGTCTTTGTGCTGTCCCTCCACCCATCCTCAAAGATGATTTACTTAGGTCTTGTGTTTGCCCTGGTTGACGCAAGCGATTCCCAAACCAAAAAGGACTTGATTTAGTTAGTGGGTTGCAGAGTCTGATCAACCTGTGAAGTGAATTTTAAAGCATCTGTCATGGAAGGGAAGGAAAAATGAAATGAAATGGCTGGCAGATTTAATCTAATATCTCCATGCAAAGCCAGCTTGCAGGAACCAGGGATATGTGCCCCAGGGAAAG